CTCACGCACTCACTCACCCACTCACTCACCCTTTCACGCACTCACTCGCTCACCCACTCACCCTCTCACGCACTCACCCTCTCACTCACCCTCTCACTCACTCACCCTCTCACGCACTCACTCACCCTCTCACTCACCCACTCACTCACCCTCTCACGCAACTCACTCACTCACTGACACTCTTACTCACCCTCTCACTCACCCTCTCACCCACTCACTCACCCACCCACTCACTCACCCTCTCACGCACTCACTCACTCACTGACACTCTTACTCACCCCCTCACTCACCCTCTCACGCACTCACTCACCCTTTCACGCACTCACTCACTGACACTCTTACTCACCCTCTCACTCACCCTCTCACCCACTCACTCACCCACCCACTCACTCACCCCCTCACTCACCCTCTCACGCACTTACTCACTAACACTCTTACTCACCCACTCACTCACCCTCTCAGGCACTCACTCACTCACTGACACTCTTACTCACCCACTCACTCACCCTCTCACGCACTCACTCACGCACTCACTCACCCACTCACGCACCCTCTCACTCACGCACTCACTCACCCACTCACTCACCCTTTCACGCACTCACTCGCTCACCCACTCACCCTCTCACGCACTCACCCTCTCACTCACCCTCTCACTCACTCACCCTCTCACGCACTCACTCACCCTCTCACTCACCCACTCACTCACCCTCTCACGCAACTCACTCACTCACTGACACTCTTACTCACCCTCTCACTCACCCCCTCACCCACTCACTCACCCACCCACTCACTCACCCTCTCACGCACTCACTCACTCACTGACACTCTTACTCACCCACTCACTCACCCTCTCACGCACTCACTCACCCTTTCACGCACTCACTCACTGACACTCTTACTCACCCTCTCACTCACCCTCTCACCCACTCACTCACCCACCCACTCACTCACCCACTCACTCACCCTCTCACGCACTCACTCACTCACTGACACTCTTACTCACCCCCTCACTCACCCTCTCACGCACTCACTCACGGGTTTCCCAAGACGGCCAACCTCACTCAACTGGACAATCCGGGACAGGTGGCAACCGCGGCAGCCGCTCCCGGCTGCGATCGCGACCGCTGCCCAGCGGCAGCAGCAGAGGGCGCTGTCGCAGCGTCGCAGCAAAGCCGCTCGCTGCGCGTCGCTGCCTCCCTCCAGGATCGCGGAGTTGAGTTCCCCGAGGGGAGAAGCCCCACGCCGCTGAGCTTTGTCAAGGGCGACTTGGCCAGCAGGCGACATCGAAAAGCATTCGGCTGGGAAAGTCGCTCCCGATCCCAGGCGCCAGTTGCACTGTTCAGGCGCCCTGCCAGAGGGCGGTTTGTTAATGAACTTCGCGAGACAGCGAACTGATGATCGTCCTTTTGGTCAACTCTCAGAGCTGGAAGTTAGCACAGTTAAGCGGCGAAAAGGCAGCGTTTTATATAAACGTTGAGCAAGTTGTTGGTGAGCGAGCTGAGCCAATTAGATCATTACACTTGAGAACCAATTTTAATCAAAGTCAGAAAGACGCGCACAGACAGACGGACAGACACCCACAGACACACGTACACACAGACACACGTACACACAGACACACGTACACACAGACAGACCCACAGACACACGGCCAGACCTACAAACACCCATACACACGGCCAGACCTACAGACACCCGTACACACGGACAGACCCACAGACTCACGTGCACACAGACACACGTACAGACACACGTACACACAGACAGAGCCACAGACACACGTACACACAGACACACGTACAGACACACGTACACACAGACAGAGCCACAGACACACGTACACACAGACAGACCCACAGATACACGTACACACAGACAGACCCACAGACACACGTACACACAGACAGACACACGTACACACATACACACGTACACACAGACAGACCCACAGACACACGTACACACAGACAGACCCACAGACACACGCACACACGCACAGACGAACTCTGACGCATGGCCACGTGCACGGACAGACGTCACAATGCGTGTACCGCGCAGGCAGTAAACCCGGCCTGTCACTCAGCCCTGTCCATAAAAAGGCGACGCGCATTAAATCTCGACTTTAAGCTTTCGTGACTGCAGGAATTTATATTCTTTGGGTCTTTCGGCAAAGTCACGTAGATGGTTAAAAAAATAATAAAAAAACTACGACGTTTCGATCACAACACAAGCGATCGTCATCAGGATGACGACGTTTCGATCACAACACAAGCGATCGTCGACCGCTTGTGTGGTGATCGAAACGTGATGATGACGATGATGGCTTGTTTCGATCACAACACGACCGCTTGTGTTGTGATCGAAACGTCGTCATCCTGATGACGATCGCTTGTGTTGTGATCGAAACGTCGTAGTTTTTGGTTATTTTCTTTGAACCATCGACTACGTGACCCAAAGAATATGAGACGCGCATTTTTCAGCTTCCCAAAGTGTCTTTGAGGACAAAGTAAGACACCGAGAAAATGTCCCCAAAGCCACGGAACGAGTCGTAAAACACAGAAGCAGCCGCGCATTAATCGCTATTTTGTCCTTTCAAGCGAAGAAGATCAAAACAAATGTTTGGGTGGAGGGGGGTAAAGTGCACACAGAGTCGCAGTGGGGGGGGGGGGGGGGGGGCTGCTGCCGGCCCGGAGGGGAAATCCGCGACGCCCGAGGACCCAAGCGGAGCGCGCGCCTCGCGAGGGCGCGGAGATTGGAGATTGACAGCGGCGTGAACACAACAACAACAACAGCAGCAGCAGCCGCAGCCCGTTCACCACGGCGCTTGTTGTGCCAGGCTAGGTGCACTTTGAGGCCGTCACGTGAGATGTCCAAGGCTCGCTGCTGGCAGGCCACGGAGCTGACCCAGCACGGTACCACAGGTTGACTGACAGATGGCTGGCTGATGCACCACCTGTGCACCAACGTTGTACCGACTCGCTGCGTTTTAGCCGCTGGGCGCTCTGCTCGTTGTTGTGAGCGTCGCTCCTCCGCCCTCCGTTGTTGCAGGAGGGCGACTGCCTCCAACTACCCAGTAGCGTCCTTCACGAGCCTCCTCCATAGAGGCCGATCTTGACACCGGTGGTACCGGTCATCGACAAGTCCACTCGGCTCCCCATCCTCCTGTACCACATCACTCCATCTCCTCTCTAGCCCGTACCGCGCCCGGTCAAACAGAAGCTGCTTGGGCACGTGGTGGCCGGGCATGCGGGCTACGTGACCCAGCCAACGCAGCCTCGCCTGCCGGAGGCACTCTGATGGGAACTGTGTCCAGATCTTTGAAGGATCTGTGAGCTCCTGACACAATCCAGTCTGGTTAAACAATACAGTACACACACGCGCGTGCATATCTGTTAAACAGCAACATGCGCGCACAATGCGCATCACTTTCCTCTCTCTCCGTAAGTATATACAGTAGAGTACATACACATATTGCTTCACGCATCCCATCAGCTAATACCAACATCCGATCAGCACGGTTGGCTATGCACGGTGCGAACCCGGTTCAACACACGACCCAAGCATTCAAGACGAGCACAACTCTGGATCAGTTTCGACAATCGGTGTCTTGTCAGCCAAACGCGACTTGCTTGAAGCAATGCTGGCGACCTGCCAGGGTGGATGGGCCAGGGCCCTGGGACTCCTTCGCGTGGTTGGAGAGATGACGAGACGCTGCATGGCGACACTGGGCCACACCTCGGTCGTGCTGAGCCATCGCTGCCGAAGACTCCCAGAAAGGCCGTGGCGCTGATGGGATGTGCGAAATGTGTGCTGTTGTTCGACTCCGTCGAGGAAGAGATGTTTGTGGAAGGCGTGTTTAGTGGTACCTGGAGTGTCCACCACGACGCGAATGAATGGTTGGTTTGTGTTGTGTGTGTGAGTGTGTTTATGATTGTGTGTGAGTGTTGTTTATGATTGTGTGTGTGTTGTTTATTGTCTCACTCCGAATCAGTCGAGCGGCAATATCTTTTCATCGGTTGCGTAACGCTGTGTGGAAGCTTTAGGTCTTCTCGGCCACGGTCATTCCCTCCTTCTCTACGCTTGCGAAACGTGGACCCCCCTAATGGAGCATCTTCGCCGGTTAGAAACATTTAGGCTGGCCTGCCTACGATCCATCCTGGGTTTAACCAGGCTGGATTGTGTGAGGAGCTCACAAATCCTTGAAAGATCTGGGCAAAGTACCATCGGTGAGCTCCTGTGGCAGGCAAGACTGCGTTGGCTGGGTCATGTAGCCCGCACGCCCAGCCACCGCATGTCTAAACAGCTTTTGTTCAGCCGGATCGAGGGGGCTAAACGGGCGCGGCACGGGCTAGAGAAGAGATGAAGTGATGTGGTATAGGAGGACAAGGAGCTGAGTGGACTTGCCGATGACTGGTACCAGCGGTGTCAAGATCGGCCTCAGTGGAGGAGGCTCGTGAAGGACGCTACTGGGCAGTCGGAGGCAGTCGCCCTCCAACAACAACGGAGGGCGGAGGAGCGACGCTCACAACAACGAGTGGAGCGCCGGGTGACTAAAGCACAGCAAGTTGGCACAGTAGGGGGCACAGGTGGTGCATCAGCCAGTCATCTCGGTCATCTCAGTCAGTCGACCCGTGGCACCTGGGTCTGCCCCGTGACCTCCTGCCAACGGGCGTTCGACACTTCACGTGTCCTCAAGGTGCACATGGCCTGGCACAAGCGTCGTGGTGACGTCACCTCCACTTAGTGGCGAACACGTACACACACACACGCATGTTGCCTCATCGGTCGTGACACCACCGACGCTCAACCCGAAACCATAGAGACAGCCAGAGAGAGAGGGAGGCGGGGAGGAGTGGGAGAGAGTGAGTGGTGCTTGAGAGTGGAGTGAGTGGAGAGGATGGGGAGATGAAAAAAGATGATGGGGGAGGAGAGGAGGGAGAGTTCGTGGTACTTGAGAGAGGAGAGGAGGGAGAGGGGATAAACCCAAAGTTCACAAAGGGGAATACAAGCAAAGTTCACAAAGGTAAAACCGACGTTTTGCTGACCCTAAAAACAGACGAGAGCAGGGGAGAGCAAGGGAGAGGACAGGAGAAGGTGGAGTGAGGGCAGAGAGGAGAGAGAGAGGGAGAGAAGGAAGATCAGAGAGCAGAGGAGGGGTGAGCGTGCATCGCCAGACGCCTCGTGGCACAGCTCCCAGAGAGCAGCAGCAGCAGCAGGAGGAGGAGGAGGAGGAGAAACCTGGTGACGAGGTTGGCCGTGATCGTCTCAAGTTCCACCTGCGGACTGACACCGACAAGTTCGACCCCAGGTGAGTGGTGTGGTCAGCGGCAGTTGCTTCGCTTCGTCTTTGGAAAGAAAATAAAAATCCCAAACGCATTCTCAGCTCCGTCGTTTCAACAGTTTACTTCATTCCGGTGGTGGAAATTCCCACGTTCCTATGACGGGGGCGAGTCCATCCATAGGGTAAAACCCACCGACATCCCCACGAAGCAGTGCCCATTTGGTCGTCCGCGGAGGGTGATGGGCTGAGTGAACAGCCCCGGACCCGGACTTGAACTCGCGTCGTCTCTGACTGGGAGCCGCTCGCTCTGCTGCTGAGTTTCGCTGCGGTGTGGAATGCGATTTTTTTGTAGCGAATACTTTTACACGTGACACTTTTTTTCCACTGTTAGAGCACCAGGCACACAAGCAATAATTAGTGAGATAAATCCGAATTGTATTTATAGTGGAGGAATCCGATGAGCTATAAAAATATTTTTCATACACGTCCAGGAGGGGCACGGGGTAAGAACGTCAGAACAACAAACAGTACACAAACACAACAGGCGTGCAAGTATAAGAAAGGTAAACACATCACCCAAACACACAAATACAATTAACCCCATCCCACGAGGCAAAGGCCACTCAGGTATTAACTTATTTTTCAGAAACGACCTGGCCACAAATGATAGCTCAACAAAGTGGCCCATTACTTGGACATTCATAGCAGCCAAAATAATCTAAATTTGTCTCAATGCGTGTTGATAAATGTGGAGGCAAAAAACCGGAGGACCCGGGAGATAAAAATCCACGCGACCACGGGGAGAGAGAGAAAGAGAGACACGCAAACTCCCAATATACAAGAGGCGCCAGGGTCGGGATGGAATCCCCGACCTTCTGCACACGTCACACCAGCGTGGTGCCTCTTGTATAAATAATACAGTCCGTGACATCCGTCTGCTTGTCGATGTTCTATCTCGATTTAAGTGCACGTGAGCCCACGTAGCAACAGAGCCACGTGACAGACACTTGCAGTGCGTGCCGGGCATCCCGTCCCGCCCGGCACGCCCTGACGGACTTACGCGTCTTTTTACTCAACTATTTTTTTTACCAGGTCAGGCCCACTGAGCTACATCAGTCGTTTTCAGAAGCCACCTGGCCACACGTGACAGCGAAGTTGCTTATCATCATCGCGTGGAAATGTAAAGCAGCCAAATACTCTAAACGAGTGACGTTGAACCTATATGTGGAGGGATAAACCGGAGGACCCGGAGAAAACGCCACGCGACCACGGGGAGAGAGAGAAAGAGAGGCACGCCAACTCCAAATATACAGCAGCAGCAAGCATCGTCAGGGTCGGGATCGAACCCACGACCTCCTGCAGACCAGGCGAGATAGTTAACATCTCCTAGCCACCACGGTGCCGGAGGCGATGTTTGTGCGCTCCGGTCTCGTGATCCTCGCATTCATACGGCGGGGGCTGTCACGCAGCAGCAGTAGCAGTAGCACGACGCCCCATCGATGTTCAGAAGCAGCACACCCACACACACACACACCCACACAACAGCAACAACAACCGCCATTCGCCACTAAGTGGCGGTGACGTCCCCACGACGCTTGTGCCAGGCCATGTGCACCTTGAGGCCACGTGAAGTGTCGAACACCCGCTGGCAGGTCACGGGGCAGACCCAGGTGCCACGGGTCAACTGACTGAGATGACCGAGACGAGTGGCTGATGCACCACCTGTGCCCTCTACTGTGCCAACTTGCTGTGCTTTACCACCCGGCGCTTCGCTCGTTGTTGTGAGCGTCGCTCCTCCGCCCTCCGTTGTTGTTGGAGGGCGACTGCCTCCAACTGCCCAGTAGCGTCCTTCACGAGCCTCCTCCACAGAGGCCGATCTTGACACCGCTGGTTACCAGTCATCGGCAAGTCCACTCAGCTCCACATCTTCCTGTACCACATCACTCCATCTCTTCTCTAGCCCGTGCCGCGCCCGTTTAGCCCCCTCGATCCGGCCGAACAATAGCTGTTTAGGCATGCGGTAGCTGGGCATGCGGGATACATGACCCAGCCAACGCTGCCTTGCCTGCCGGAGGAGCTCACCAATGAGACTTTGCCAAGATCTTTCAAGGATTTCTGAGCTCCTCACACAATCCAGCCTGGTTAAACCCAGGATGGATCATAGGCAGGCCAGCCTAAATGTTTCTAACCGGCGCAGATGCTCCATTAGGGGGGTCCACGTTTCGCAAGTGTAGAGAATGGAGGGAATGACCGTGGCCGAGAAGACCTGAAGCTTCGTGCGGAGCGACAGACCAGGTAGCTTCCACACATCGTTACACAACCGATGAAAATATATTGCCGCTCGACTGATTCGGAGTGAGACCTCTGCTGTTAGACTGGAGCCGATCATAAGCACACTGCCCAGGTATGGGAAACTCTCCACTCTCTCCACAATTGCCCCATCACCGATTGGGAGTTGTGGAGGTGGAGTGTCCGATGGTACAAAATACCCAGGCAGGTGCTTAGTTTTGGTGGGGCTGATGGTAAGGTCCCACCCACACACGCACCCACACACCCACACACACACACCCACACACATCCACACACACCCACACACATCCACACTCTCTCTTGTTCATCCATCATAGTTGATGATGACCATGGAACGTTTGTCATTTTGTTGGGTTTGATGAGTGCGCAGATGGCTGAACAGGCTAATCCGAGCCCGGAATTCTCTGTGGCACACTGGACAGGTCAGGGAGGATGTAGAGCTCTGAGGTGCAGCCACAAGTCCTCGCTTGGTAGATTTGCGCTGCTGCCTCTTCAAGATGGCACAGGAGCTTCTCCCGCTCTCACAGAGGACTGCACCGTCCTGGACTTTTCTTTTCCAGGCAGGTCGGCCCTGTGCTAGGGATTCCCAGCTTTTCAGGTCGAATCCAAAGCTCTTCAAGGAAACTTTCAGGGTGTCCTTGTAGCGCTGTTTGGGGCCACATTGTGCTCGCTTGCCATTCCTCAGCTCGCCAAATAAGACTTGTTCTGGCAGTCTCGCGCAGGACATTCTGGTCACGTGGCCAGTCCATCTAAGCTGTTCCTTCGCAAACAAGGTGTGGATGCTGGGGATATTGGCCTTTCTGAGGAATTCCGTGTCAGGGATTCTGCCAATTGATCCTCAGCAGTTTCCTCAGATAGCTCAAGTGGAGATGGTGGTGATGGTGGTGATGGTAGTGATGGTGGTGATGGTGGTGATGGTGGTGATTATGATGGTAGTGATGGTGGTGATGGTAGTGATGGTAGTGATGGTGGTGATGGTAGTGATGGTAGTGATGGTGGTGATGGTGGTGATTATGATGGTAATGATGGTGGTGATGGTAGTGATGGTGGTGATGGTAGTGATGGTGGTGATGGTGGTGATTATGATGGTAGTGATGGTGGTGATGGTAGTGATGGTGGTGATGGTGGTGATTATGATGGTAGTGATGGTGGTGATTATGATGGTAGTGATGGTGGTGATGGTGGTGATGGTGGTGATTATGATGGTAGTGATGGTGGTGATTATGATGGTAGTGATGGTGGCGATGGTGGTGATGGTAGTGATGATGGTGATTATGATGGTAGTGATGGTGGTGATGGTGGTGATGGTAGTGATGATGGTGATTATGATGGTAGTGATGGTGGTGATGGTGGTGATGGTAGTGATGATGGTGATTATGATGGTAGTGATGGTGGTGATGGTGGTGATGGTAGTGATGGTGGTGATTATGATGGTAGTGATGGTAGTGATGGTAATGATGGTAGTGATGGTGGTGATTATGATGGTAGTGATGGTGGTGATGGTGGTGATGGTGGTGATGGTGGTGATTATGATGGTGGTGATGGTGGTGATGATGGTAATTATGATGGTAGTGATGGTGGTGATGGTGGTGATGGTAGTGATGGTGGTGATTATGATGGTGGTGATGGTAGTGATGGTGGTGATGGTGGTGATGGTGGTGATGGTGGTGATTATGATGGTGGTGATGGTGGTGATGGTGGTGATGGTGGTGGTGGTGATGGTGGTGATGGTGGTGATGGTGGTGATGGTGGTGGTGATGGTGGTGATGGTGGTGATGGTGGTGGTGGTGATGGTGGTGATGGTGATGATGGTGATGGTGGAGATGGTGGTGATTATGATGGTGGTGATGGTGGTGATGGTGATGATGGTGATGGTGGAGATGGTGGTGATTATGATGGTGGTGATGGTGGTGATTATGATGGTGGTGATGGTGGTGATGGTGGTGATGGTGATGATGGTGATGGTGGAGATGGTGGTGATTATGATGGTGGTGATGGTGGTGATTATGATGGTAGTGATGGTGGTGATGGTGGTGATGGTGGCATGAACAGCTCTTGTCGCTCGCCCTTGACCTTGCTGGGCTGTGACGCTCGCGGTGAGAATCGCGAGCGTCACAGGGACGCAGCCTCGCGCTCTCCACGGCCTCGCGAGCTCTCGTCTCGCACTCGAGATCAGAGAGAGAGAGAGGGCAGAGAGAGAGCGAGAGAGAATGAGAGAGGGCAGAGAAAGAGAGCGAGAGAGAGACTTTTTTTTGACTTGTTAAAACTTTATTACACCAGCGCCAATTGCGCTGGAAACTTTCCGTGCATTCAAATCAATGTACATGCCTTTATGGCAACAACATACACTGCATTGATCGTCACGCAACACATCGCCACCGCGTCACAGTCAGTGTCCGGTGTGCGCGTTGTCCGGGCTTTCACGTTCCCTTGCTTAAACCAACGGCTCTTCCTCTCCCACATCCTCACCCTCCTTCTCAACCGACGACAGCGAGAGAGAGAGAGAGGGCAGAGAGAGTGAGAGGGCAGAGAGAGTGAGAGGGCAGAGAGAGTGAGAGTGAGGGCAGAGAGAGTGAGAGAGCTCGCGCCCTCTGCTCGCGTGGAATGCAGACGCGTCTTCAGCACTGCACCTGGGCATCCTTCACGGACGCCTGACGTCCCCACATATGGATACATCTAGAAATGCATCTTCATACTGCCGACGTGTTTTTGAACACGATAGTTCTGGTGATCCGTGCCTAACGCCTGCCACTGTAGCGCTGCTGGCTGGGTAAGGCGACGTGGATCCGAGCGACGCCACTCATTATCCAGTCTCACTTCTTACACCAGGCTGCTATAAACACCATCTGGCAATGCCACCTCATGAATTGTTGTATTTGTAAGGAACCATTGTCATAGCCGATTCGAAATCTCAACCCCCAAAAAGGGACTTGTGCAATGGCACGCGGTCTGGTGGTGCGTGCAATGCACCGCCATGTCGCTGTGGCTGAAATCATTTCGGAATCCACTCGTGCAGATGGAGTCTTCATTCCCAGAATTGATCTGCCACCGTCTGATGTGAATTTTCCATTTGCTTTGAAGCGAAGACGGTTTCCAATCAGTCGTCCTGCGTTTGCTATCACTGTCAATACGTCACGAGGGCAACGTTCTGAGCATGTTGGACTTTTATCTCCACGAATCTGTGTTTTTTCCCCATGGACAGCTTCATTACGTTGCTTTGCCAAGGTGCACACATCCCACCGACATCAAAGTGCTGATTCAACATTTTAGATTAAATAAATTCAATACAGTCCTTAAATGTTAGTCTTTTTCATTAAATACACATTTGTATGAACCCGTTATGACGGGAAATTACATTAATTTAATCAATACAAACTAGCAGTGGTTAGCGCTATGCTGCGCTACGAACCCAGCGACCCGAGTTCGATTTCTCGCTCACGGCCACCAACAGCAATGACGATTATCTGAACCGGTTCTGGGCCTTCTCTAGGTGGACTCAGCCTCAAATGAACAACCTGGTGCGATATGTAAACATCGCCATTGGGGAGACAAAGGCGGCCGAGCGTGGTGCTGGTCCACCCACCCCTCGTGTGCCACAGTGCCGGCCTTCATAGGTGGTGCTGCTGCTACTCGCTACTAACAGCACTTGCCCCAGCAGCGTGTTAAGGCTACACGGAGTGCGGGGAACTTGGCCTTGTTACGTGTCGGCTCGGCCACCCCCAATTGATCACGACGTCCACACGACTTCTCACGACGTCCACACGACTTCTCACGACGTCCACACGACTTCTCACGACGTCCACGCGATTGCGAGCGACAGGCTGACAGCACTGGCAATGCGCCCAGAGAGAGAGGGGAGAGAGGGAGCTGACTCACAGCTGAAGGGCGTGAGCTCAAGTCCCCACTGGGGGTGGGTTGGCTCAGCTCGCCGCCACCACGCCATCTCTTCAGGCCATCGCCACCTCCTCTGGCAGTCTCGCAATGCAACGATCCATCTTGCTCGTCATTCCATCGCTCCATCTCCTCGGGGGACGGGCTATGCCAGGGGGCGCGGGCTATGCCAGGGGGCGCGATCACCCCCTCGCCTGCCGCTCGCTCTCGAGTCTCTCCCAGCGGAGGTCTCCGTGGCCTCTGGCCGACGTCCTGCCCACGTGGCCCCCCCCCCCCCCCCCACTGGACATCGGTGACAAAGAGCTTCGTAGGTCATCGGATTCCTCCTCCTGCAGTCTCCATGAAGATTCTGATTCTGACTTCTCCGCACGGCGAACGTGACGAGTGGGGGGAGGGGGGGGGTCTCAGTCAGTGCAGGCATCTTTGTTCGAGCGGTGGCGCAGCGGTTAGCGCTACGCCGCGCTACGAACCAGGCGACCCGGGCTCGGTTCCCGCTCACGGACACCAGCGGCGATTATCTGAACCGGTCCTGGGCCTCCCGTAGGTCGACTCAGCGTAACCCATGCGATGTGTAGAATCCTCACCACGGGGGAGACAAATGCGGCCGGGCGTGGTGCTTAGTCAGCCACCCCCTCGTGTGCCACAGTGCCGGCCTTCGTAGGCGCTGCTCGCTACGAGCAGCATTTGCCCAGCAGTCTGTGAAAGCTACGGGGGGGGTGGGGGGGTCTTTGTGTTTGCGTCTCAGCCTCTCGGCCTCAGCGCGGCCCCCCGTGGCTCTCTCTGCGCGCACGTCGCTGGCGACCCGGCGGGCTGCGACACTTCAACTCGCTACACCGGAGCTCCCGGTTTGAGTCGAAAGTTCGTCGCCTTCTTCTTTTTTTGTTTAAACCGAGGCCGCTTGTTCGCTTCTCGAGAGGAAGGCGGACGGTCAGGGCGCATTCCGTGCGGGGTGTTGGGGGGGTCCGCAGGAAGGCATTGTAGAGGGTCCCGTTGGGGGGGGGGGGGGGGCTCTGTCGCCGTTCCACTGCAGAAAGATTTCGCGAGACGTGGATTGTTTGTGGGTCACGTGACAAGGTGCAATGCGCCCCACATCCATCACCGTTCCACGTCATTTCGGCATTTCAGAAGCGACCTGGCCGCCACAAATGATGCCTCAACCAAGTGGATTGTCGTCATCGCGTAGAAATGTTTCGCGGCCCAAACACTCTAAATGTGTGACGTTGGTTCTAAACGTGCAGGGGAATACCGGAGGACCCGGAGAGAAATCCAATCAACCACGGGGAGAGAGACACGCAAACTCCAAATATACAGCAGCAGCAGCAGGCGTCAGGGTCGGGATCGAACCCACGACCTCCTGTAGACCAGGCGAGGTAGTTAACATATCCTAGCCATCGTGATTATGATGACAGAGAGAGACACGCAAACTCCAAATATACAGCGGCAGCCATCGTCAGGGTCGGCATCGATCCCACGACCTCCTGTAGACCAGGCGAGGTAGTTAACATCTCCTAGCCACCGTGATGATGATGACGATGACAGAGAGAGACACGCAAACTCCAAATATACAGCAGCAGCAGCCGGCGTCAGGGTCGGCATCGATCCCACGACCTCCTGTAGACCAGGCGAGGTAGTTAACATCTCCTAGCCACCGTGATGATGATGACAGAGAGAGACACGCAAACTCCAAATATACAGCAGCAGCAGGAGCCATCATCAGGGTCGGCATCGATCCCACGACCTCCTGCGAGCGGAAGCGCTGCGGATCCACGGCAATGCGGCGGGGTCGTTGCGCAATCGCCGCCCCTGTCACAACAAAGCGCCCGCGGCCCCCACGCAGCGCCCAGCGCTCAGCGCTCTGCGCGTGTCTCTATGAATAGCCGCGCGGAATGTGCGGAGCGCGCGCGGCAGCGCCGGGCGGGGCCGCGTGTTTACTCGCGCAGGGCGAGGCGCGCCTCCTCCACCTGCCGTGAGCGGCAGGGGCCGTGGGGAGCCCAGTGACGACTATCCGAACCGGTCCTGGGCCGCTTCCCCTAGGTCGACTCAGCCCCAAGTGAATAACCCGGTGCGGGGAGACAAATGCGACCGTGCGTGATGCTGGCCACCCACCCCCTCGTGTGCCATCCCGGCAGTCATAGGTGCTACTCGCTAACAGCACTTGCCCCAACAGTCTGTCACGCGGGACCTTTGTCTTTGCTTCTCAGTGTGAGGCCGGGAAAGCAGTTGGCAAGGATTAGTCAGTGAGCCGATTAGTCAGTCGATTAGTCAGTCGATTCGTCGGTCGATTAGTCAGTCGTCTCATTGGCGAATGGCGGCTGCTGCTGTTGTTGTTGTGTACACCTCCACTTTAAACCCCGCTCCCCGTGTCAACTATTACGTCATCTCAGCCACAATTACTCCCTCCCCCTCCTCCACCTCCCCTTCCTCCACCTCCTCCTCCTCCTCCCTGCAGCCCACGGGACCCTACCCCCTCAGCGTCGTCATCGCCACCACAGCCACCTGCGAGTCGCAGCGCCACACCCACCGACAGCCCGCGGTTCAGAACAGGTGCAGCAGCAGCACCATCACCACCATCATCATTACCACCATCGCACACCACCACCATCACACACCACCACCATCACACACCACCACCATCGCACACCACCACCATCACACACCACCACCACCACCACACGGACAGGAGAGCGAGCGAGAGGAACATCCCCGAGTTCACGTTCCAGGCGGCGGCACCTTGAACGAGCCAGGTGAGGCGATTGGATCTGCGCTCGTGATAACGGTGACAGGTCTGCTGGCGGTGCTGTACGATCATCGTCATTATTGCTCTTTACCATTATTGTTGGTGATACATCGTGATTTACATTCGTAGAGACGCGTGGCATCCGTAGATATCACCAAAGCGCCACCGCCCTGTATGGAAAGCGAGGAAATAAGCAGTAATTGAAAATGTTGTTGTGGGTTTCCGGTTAGTGCTGTACTCGTGACGAATTGGCACGTTTTATGTTTACGTGACAACCCTCACTAATTGGCTGTGTCGGGTGGTGGCGGGTTCAACGACACAGTTGTATGTACGCGATTTAACCCACAAAACAACGACTATGGATAATATTGGTCGTGAAAGACCGACGACGACGACTCCGAAGTGTCCAGCCGAGCCCCCAGGGGACGCGGCAGGACGCGTGCGGGGCTGAGGGGCCGTTCACAGAGCAGAGTTCTCAAGAAGAGACTTTAATATACAGAGCGCTTCACAAACATGTGCTAACACTTGTGAGGATTTGCAACAACAACAACCACAATAAATGTGCAGCCTCCGGGCTCTGGAGACCACCTGGAGAAGGTTCCTGGCACGCGTTGACAACGACGGCGAGCAAGTGGAGACTTTGACTTTGCCAAGCTATTAACTTACATTTGTTATCATGTTACAGTGTAGTATTATCCGTTCTTTTATGTCCATTGAGAACGACAGTCCCATATAAGTGTTGACATTTCCTTTTGAAGCGCCCTGTATTTAACGACTCGGATCGTTTCTCTCGGCAAAAGCGTCCCAACGCGTGGCACCTGCGCTGGCAAAAGCCCCGCCGAGCCTCTCCCAGGAGCAGACGGCCCTTGAGCTCTCGGAGTGCTGCGAGAAGCCTGCGGATGCGACGAACCCAGTGAACCTCGTTGCTGTGAACAACACCAACCGTGGATCAGTTCCTGTAAAACTGTTCTCGTCACCGCCGCTTGTTCGCTCAGCAAAGCCTCGCTGAGTCTCGTAACGCTTTGTCCACGAGGGCAACGTCAAGTTGTTGTTGTTTGTGTCCAGTGGGGCTCGATGATTTCTGAATGTATATTGTAATTGAGCAGGGCAGACGTTGGCTTTGGTATCATGAGACTTCTCGGCTGCCACGACCGCCGTGAGCACGGATGATGGTGGTGGTGATTGTGGTAATCGTGATGATGGTGGTGGTGATTGATGGTAATTGTGATGATGGTGGTGATTGTGGTAATCGTGATGATGGTGGTGGTGATTGGTGGTAATTGTGATGATGGTGGTGATTGTGGTAATCGTGATGATGGTGGTGATTGTGGTAATCGTGATGATGGTGGTGATTGGTGGTAATCGTGATGATGGTGGTGATTGTGGTAATCGTGATGATGGTGGTGATTGATGGTAATCGTGATGATGGTGGTGATTGTGGTAATCGTGATGATGGTGATTATTGGTGGTAGTCGTGATGATGGTGATTATTGGTGATACTGGTGGTGGAGCGCCGGGCGGATAAAATGCGGCGTTGGCACAGTATCTGGTGCATCGGCCAGTCATCTCAGCCAGCCAATTCACGGCATCTGCTGGGTCTGTCCCGTGACCTCCTCCTGTTAGCGAGCCTTCGACACTTCACGTGGCCTCAAAGTGCACCTGGCCTGGCACGGGCGCCGTGGTGACGTCGCCGTCACTTGGTGGCGAATGGCGGTGATAATAACGCCGACGATGATGGTGATGTCAATGATGATTACAATCCATGAAGACCACGATTAAGATCACCATCTTCTCGATCATGTTCATCGTGATCGACATGATGGTGATGATTGTGGTGATAATGATGACAATGATTATTATATTATGATAGCGATAATGATCATGACAATGATCGTAATGATGGGAATGTTTGGTGATAACTCCGAATATAGATCCGGAATTTAAGATTTTCAAAATAACCCAACGTAATTCCATGGATATTCTTCTGCGAATGTCCTTTGAATGGCCCCACGCTGGACTCATCACAGCTGGAGAGCCGCGCTGCACCTCCCGGCCGTGTAGCGCACAGCCTGCTGCTGCTGCTGCAGCTGATGATGATGATCCTGATAATGATGTCCTCACGTGGAGAGCTCCGAGCTCCCGTGTCCCCCACGCGTCCGAGTTTCCCGGTCGTGGCTCACAGAGCGGCCACCGCGGGCAGAATTCCCTCTGCCCCGACACACGCCTCGTCCCATGGAACTTTAGTCGAGTCTCAGTCTTTGTCTTGGTGGTCTTGGTGGTGGAAGTGGTGATTGGAGGTGGTGAGGGTAGTCGTAGTGGTGATGATGGTAGTCGTGTTGATGGTGGTGACGATTGCGGTGATAAAGATATAATCGGTGGTGATGATGATGATGATAACGAAAGTGATGATGATGATGATGATGCTGCTGCTGCTGCTGGTGGTGGTGGTGATGATTATACAGATGGTGGTGGTGATGATGATTATATAGATGGTGGTGGTGGTGGTGGTGATCATTATACAGATGGTGGTGGTGATGATGATGATGATGCTGCTGGTGGTGGTGGTGATGATTATACAGATGGTGGTGGTGGTGATGATTATACAGATGGTGGTGGTGATGATGATTATACAGATGGTGGTGGTGATGACACAGATGGTGGTGGTGATTCTCCAGATGACGATGATGATGATTGAGTGGTGATGATGACGCTGAGACTGTGAGAATGGTCTTCTGAGGTCGGTAGCTGAACACGCGACAAACCAGCGGGGTCAACCAACGGAAGGAAGCGATATCGAAGTCGCGATGACCTCTCGACCTTCACCTTCCGTCACCCCGCTCACTGCGCGTGTGTCTTTATTTATTATTTATCAAAATTTCACGCAGCAGTATCCAGGAGACGAGGGCACTTGTTTTGTTGCAAAGCAGCGGCCGTTGGCTCGGCGAGGATTGTGTTTTGTTATCTCCGGCGGCTTTGCTTGGCGCTCCCCAGCGCCAGTGTCGAACTTTGCTCCCCCCCACACCCCCCACACCCCCCACACACCCCCCACACCCCCCACACCCATCGCTCGTTCCCGAGCAGCAGCAGCAGAGCCACGTCCACACGCGCCCTCGGCTGCGCAGACGAAGCCCAGGCACCCGTTGGGGCGCCCAGGGAGGAGCTTTCTGCAGACCATTGCCACGGATCGTCATGGATGCTCTGTCGGGTGATGCCGCGTAAATCATCTGGCCACAATTGTGTCGTTTAAACCTCCACCCAGCCAGCCACCCACCCAGCCACCAAGCCCCAATGTACGCAGACAAACAGAATGAAGCCGATCGTGACCGTTGTGAGCTCCCACACCGCGAGTGGTGTGAGTTGGGGAGCGACTTTCGCTCACCCACTCGCTCTCACCGTGAGTTCAAGGGCGACCCTCATACCCCCATCCACTCGCTCGGGTTAGGGGAGCGACTCTTACTCACCTCGCCGCTCACCACGGGGTGAGGGGGTCAGGGGGTCAGGGGGTGAGTTCGCGGGCGGCTCTCACAGCGAGACGCCGCCTCTCGCGGGCAGCGCTGTGGAGTCGAGCGGCAGGGCCCCGTAGGGGGGGGGCGGGGGGGGAGACGGAGGTGGGGAAATGACGCGCGGACATTCGAGAGAGATTAAATAGCGGCGAGTTTCGTGGAAACGACGTGCACAGGTTTTGCAATCCTGGCCCTCTGCCACCTGCAGTGGACACGCCCGTGCCTCACGGAGAGACTCGGGCAGTCGCCCTCCAACAACAAAGGAGGGCAGCGGAGCGACGCTCACAACCACGAACGGAGCGCAGGGCGGATAAAATAGAGCAAGTTGGCACAGTAGGGGAGGTACAGCTGGTGGTGTATCTGTCAGTCATCTCAGTCAGCCAACCCATGGCACCTGCTGGGTCTGTCCCGTGACCTCCTGTCAGCGAGCCTTCGACACTTCACGTGGCGGCATGAACGTGCACCTAGCCTGGCACAGGCGCCGTGGTGAGGTCGCTTCATGGAGAAGGGCGTGGTGTTGGTATTGTAGGAGCGGTGGCGCAGTGGTTAGCGCGCTGCGCGACGAACTCGGCATTTCCGAGTTCGATTCCCCGAACCGGTCCTTCCCCTAGGTCGACTTGGCCTCAACTGAGTAGCTGGTGCACCGTGTCAACATCGCCGGCGGGAGAATGCTCGAGAAAGTGACGCTTCACAGCGCCGTTGGTGCGGTCAAAACATCCCGACGGAGCAGAACCCTGCAGAGTAAAACAACAAACTCGCCTGTGACTTTCGTGGGTAAATAAGTAATGGGGTAAGGATGATAAAGTGAGATAAATCAGTGGGGTGACCACAGCTGACCCCTCCGCGCAATGATGCCCGCCTCACGCTGTCAGGTGCGGCAGGCAGGGGGTGGGGGGAGATAGCGGTCGTGGTGGCGCAGGTCGAGATAAGATCGCCTGTTTGCAGTTGTAGTTTATAAACAGAAGCGGGGCGCACGCTGAGCACGGGCCGAGAGGGCGGCGGAACAAGAGCGCGGCGCTGGGCGCAGGGACGTCGCCTGCGGAGACGGAACGCTGAAATCAGCCGCGAGGTGGATCGTCCACATCGCGGAATTGTTGGCGAGCTGGAAGGGGCTTGTGGGAGGCCTCCAGCCAGCAGTGGATCGACCACGGCCGATGACTAAACTTGAGTCTTTAAATGTTGCAAAGGACAAATCAATGGACGAATGCGACTGGACGGGTCACACGGGGCCCAGAGTGGCTCTGCCGCGTTCTCCCAGGAGGCTCTGGTGGTGGCAGCCACCAATCACCGCTCTACCCCCCCCCCTCTCTCAAGTTGGGGGGGGGGGTTCATGATGGTCACGTGCGAGTGGCCTGGGTTTGAGCGCCTGGTGCCCCCCCCCCTGTTGTTGAGTCGTCACTTGTGGTGGTCAGGCCGCTCTTGGACAACAAGTTAATGCCTCGGTGGGCTTCGCCTGGCAGCATGGCGATGGTTCAGTTTCATTTGTTTCGGTGATTTGTTGACA